CTCTCTTTTCCCCTCACATTTCTCTCTCTTTTCCCCTCACATTTCTCTCTCTTTTCCCCTCACATTTCCCTCTCTTTCCCCCCCCTCACATTTCCCGCCCTTTTCTCCCCTCACATTTCTCTTTTCCCCCTCACATTTCTCATTTCCCCTCACATTTCTCTCTTATTTCCCCTCACATTTCCCCATTTTCCCTCACATTTCTCTTTCTTTTCCCCTCATATTCCCCTTTTCCCCTCACATTTCCCTCCCTTTTCCCCTCACGTTTCCCGCCCTTTTCTCCCCTCACATTTCCCACGCTTTTCCCCCTCACATTTCCCCGTTTTCCCTCACATTTCCCTTTCTTTTCCCCTCACACTTCTCTCTTTTCCCTTCACATTTCACTCCTTTTCCCTCATATTTGTCTTTTCTCCTCACATTTCCCTCTTTTCCCCCCTCACATTTCCTGCTCTTTTCTCCCCTCATGTTTCCTGCCCTTTTCTCCCCTCATATTTCTCTTTTCCCCTCACATTTCCCCATTTTCCCTCACATTTCTCTCTTTTCCCCTCATATTCCCCTCACATTTACCTCCCTTTTCCCCTCATGTTTCCCGTCCTTTTCCCCCCCTCGTTTTCCCCTTTTCCCCTCACATTTTCCCCTTTTCCCCTCACATTTTCCACACTTTCCCCATCACGTTTCCCCCCATTTTCCCCTTGCATTTCACCCCCTTTTACCCTCACATTTCCCTTTTTTCCCTTTAAATTTCTCTCTTTTCCCCTCACATTTCCTGCCCTTTTCTCCCCTCACGTTTCCCACCCTTTTCCCCCCTCATGTTTCCTTCTTTTCCCCTCACATTTCTGTCTTTTCTCCTCACATTTCCCCCCCTTTTCTCCCTCAAGTTTCCCGCTGCTTTCTCCCCTCACATTTCTCTCTTTTCCCTTCACATTTCCCCCCATTTCCCCCTCATATTTCTCTATTTTTCCCCTCACATTTTCCTCTTTTCCCCTCACGTTCCCCTCCCTTTTTCCCTCACATTCCCCTCCCTTTTCCCCTCACATTTCCCTCTCCTTTCCCCTCATATTTCTCTTTTCCCCTCAATTCCACTGAGCTGGAGCAGGAACAGCTTTATTGAGATCAGTGTTGGGAGAGGACAATTGGGGGCAGTTCTGGGGCAATTCTGGGGCAATTACAGGACAATAATGGGGCAATTATGGTGACAATAATGGGGCAGTTCTGGGGCAGTTATGCAGCAATTATGCGACTATTCTGGACTAGGAATGGGGCAATTATGAGGCAGTAATGGGGCATTAATGGGCCAATAATGGGGCAGTTATGGGGCAATTAAAGGACAGTAATGGGGCAGTTCTGGGGCAGTAATAGGGCTGTTATTGGGCAATTATGGGACAATTCTGGACTAGGAATGGGGCATTAATGGGGCAGTTATGGGGCAATTAAAGGACAGTAATGGGGCAATTCTGGGGCAGTAATAGGGCTGTTATTGGGCAATTATGGGACAATTCTGGACTAGGAATGGGGCAATTATGAGGCAGTAATGGGGCATTAATGGGGCAGTTCTGGGGCAATTACAGGACAGTAATGGGGCACTTATGCAGCAATTATGGGACAATTCTGGGGCAGTTCTGGGGCA